AAGGGACTCTTCTCTCATTTCTCCTGGATTTTGACTGAACCATCTACCTTGCAAAGTGCTGAGCACTCACACTGCAGGCAAGTCGAGTCAGAAGAAGGGGCTCTAGCTCCCACCAGCAGTCAAAATCCTGTTACCAATACATAGAGTGAGAAAAGTGCCTTCTAGAAGTGCAACTTTAACACCAAAACAACTGTTTATTGTTTTCATGCTGTAGCACTTGGCCTCCATAGTGGTCTGATCTTTAAACAGCATTTTGTTGATTTCCTGTCTTAACGGCAAAACAGTCAGAAGCGAAGGCTTGTTGTGATTGAAATTATGTTCATGACTTTCTGAGAGGGATAAAAAAATTATCTCATGTGAGGTTATTTTGTAAAACTACAAAAAGCCGTAAGATCAACAGCAGTGCTGCGTTGGCCCAGGACTTGCACAACGCTGATCCTGGAGATACACACATCACAAGTTTCTAACCTTGACCATTCACTCCATTTGAGGTGTAAGAGGTAACATAGGCCGGAAAAAGAAGATGGACTGCTCCAGTAGAGATCCTGGTACACCATCCAGCTCTTGCTGGAATGTGTAGACAAACACCGGGTAAACCTGGGAATGAAGTTCTTTGCAATTGAGTGTCTGAAAAACATCATTCACCATCTGATTCAAATAATGATTTTTTTCCTTAAATCTTCGCTTTATAAAACTAATATGCAATGAAGTAGTGAATGCTTTGTTCAGAAAACCTAAATCTACTTTCTGAACTTTCAGTTCAGAAACGCTAGAGCAATTTCAGAAGCACTGGCTTTCTCTGTTTCTCATTCCTAGTAGTTAAAAATAATTTTCAGAAAAGGAGCCCTTTCTTGTGGGTCTCCTGAAGTGCTTTGCATTCTTTAGCTGTTGCAGGAAAAAAAACACCATCTTTTATTCTATGACCTGAAAGAGTAAGTGACCTCAATGATAGTAGCCCTTGCTGAACCAGCAAATTCAGTCTGTCAATCAAAACAAAGTCCTGATCTTGAGGTAAGCCAGGCTATAGCCCTCAACTTGCCCTTGGATGATGGCAGCTCCATTTTGGGGACTGCCAAAACTAGATTATCAAAGAAAAAAACCATAAGAAATAATCCTACGTAGAGAACAAGATGAACTGCAGGATCTGACTGGTGTCTTAAAATTTCACTTCGAGTTCTAGAAACCTTTGATAAAACTTCATAAAGGCTGCTGAGAGTGTGTATTCAAGAACCATATTTCCGTAAATAGTTCTTGTTTGTGCTTGTCTTTTACCTGATAAATAAACCACAGCTCAGCAGCACCTCCCACCTGTGTGGCATACCCCACATCACTCAGCAATCACCCAGGAAGGAAGGACAAGATGCTCAGCATTGTGCAAAGTAGGACACCTCTCATTGACTCACCCAAAGACTCCACTTAACCTTTAATTTCTCTGGAGTAGCAAGAGGGAGCCGCAGCCGCTGCCTGCTACACAGCTCCTGGGATGGCCCCTTGGAAATCACAGGCACTACACAGTCCCTTCAGTCTCCTAGCCAGGTCTTCAGCTGAGGATAGTTTGAAGAGGACTCCTCAGAGATGAGAGGAGTGTTTTATTCCTGAGATGGAGGTGGTTTTTTCCTAGAAGGCTTCCTCAGCATTTTCTGTGCCCTTCCCTCATTTACATCTGGAAAGCATTTTGCTTCTTCCATCCCTCTGGATTTTGCATCCACGAAGTTCCTTAACCTGGGTTAAAACTTGGAAACAGAAACTAGACATGCAAACTCAGCAACTTAATCCAAAATGCCCTCCCATTCCCTGGTCATTTACAATAGCCCTTCTCCCTTCCTCTGTCCCTCCCTCTTGGACCCCAATGTCTCCTACCAAGCACTCCTGGCCTTTTTGCCTGCTGTTCTCCCATGTCTAGACAAATAAGCTGGAACGTCTCTACCAAGAAGTTCACGGCGTTGTGGAGATGTTTCCTCTGCAAACGCACCACTGCTGCAGTTGTCATGCAGAAATGGCAGAAGGTTAAGGGAATGGCTATGGGTGCAGTGGTACCTCCTGCTGACTTGGTTGTCCAGCTCGTGCACCAGCATCGTGCAGGCATCTTTGCCTGCGTAGACCAGACATATCTTCTTGGGTGAAAGCTGTGTCCCACTTTGTCAGACCCAGAAAGGGTGATATAGACGGGTCTCTCTGGGTGGGAAGTGGGTCCCAAGTGACATTTGGTCACCCTCCAGTTTCTTTGCAGGTAAATTTGACAGTGTCCTCTGGGAGTGGCTGGGCTGGGATGGAGACAGACTTCTGGTCCAGGTAGAGGGCCCAGAGCACAACTAGAGGGAGAGGACACAGCAGGGACGAGGCTGCAGCAACAAACCCTCATCCCTGGAGTCATGGGAGTCTCCTCTAACCACAAGCACCCCATCTGTGAGACAGGGAGACAATCAGGCTTTAGTTCCTGCTTCTGCTGGTACAAGCACGTACTGCTGCGCAATGTGAGGAGTGGGAGAAATGCAGAACCTTCTCTCTAGTGTGTGGGCTGTATCGCACACATTTCTCAGCCGTCTCGCAGGAAAATCAAGCCAGTTGTCCACCAGTTATCTGCAAAGTGTCATCTGAACTTGGGACTTGGGTAATGGGACATTGCAGATACTAAACTGCACAATTAAGCTGGTAAACAACTGGAAGTGTGATATAAAACCAAGTAGAAACATCTACTGGAGCAGATGAGTGTCCAGTATTTATGGGCTAAGTCTTAAGGCAGAGAAGACTTTCTTTGCCCTTAAAACAGTAGACGTGTCTTTGAAGACCAGAGTGCTAATGACAACCCAGACTTTGAAGAAGACAGTTGTGCGGGGTTAGCTGCTCTTTTTGGGTAGCAGAAAAAGGATTGGGCCTCCCAGCGGCTCGTATCCAATGGAGTGAGAAGATTGGGGGAGTGGCACAGCTACAACCCTGTGGTTAGACAGTAAGGAAGGTGAGGTTTTTGTCATGATGATCTTCGAGTTTCTCTATCCAGTAGCGTCCCAGTAGGCACAGTAGTAAGTAGCGGTGTCATCTGGAATTACCTCTCTTATTGTGAGAATACACCGTTTCTGGGCAGAAACTTGTTCAACCAGGTACCTGCCTGCTTGAAAGCCACTTTCAACTGAAGGTTTCTCTGAGAAAAAGTACAGTAGCCTTTGTGGAGCTTTACCCTCTTTCTGTTGATACCAATGTATTAAAGTGCGATCAAAACCTGACCCTAAAGACGGAATTTCACATATCATCCGTGCACTTCTTTGGAACTTCGTAATGGATATAGGGCTCTGCATGGGAATTTCTTGTGCAAATCCATCTAGGGAAAAAAGAGGAGAAATGATGCCATTAGCTGGAAACCAGGAATTATTGGAAAGGTGCAGCCATAGTTGCCTTTGAGGAAAAGTAAGAAAATAAGGAAGGACTTACAAGACCAGGCAGCCGTGGCCACGAGCGCTGCCAGGAGCAGCATGTTTGCTTGTCACCTTGTTTGCTTGTCACGCTCTGCTGTTGATGAGACTGAGGAGGGTGAAAGGGATCCCAGATGGGGACGGTGTTGCGTGGGAGGAGGTGGTGACTCTGTTGAGCAGTCTTCAGCAATGGGTCTTCTGTGCACAAGCAGATGGGGCACGTTTGCAGAAAAGCCTCTCCAGGCTGGCAAATGCCAAAATTGTTCAGAAGATTGTAGTCCTGTCTGCTTTTCAGGTAAATATAAGAAGCATTGGCAAATCCAAGGATTGTAGCCCTTGAAAACTCGAGCCAGAGCCACTGAG